ATTCTTTATCCTTGAAAAGTGGGAAATAATTTTCTTTTTTTTCTTTCTCCTCTGTAAATTTAAATTAGTTGAAATTAAATAATTTGATAGCAGAAAATTAGATATAATTTTATAAATAATTTTCAAAGTTATAAATAATATTTTTAGTAAGAAAAATTCTGATAACTAAATGCCTTAGTCAAATTGGAATTTTTTTTCATTTATTTTTCTACTAAAAAATAATTATTGTATTTACGCCTTTCTTGTTAGGATTTAATTAAATATTTTTGTTACTAATAGTTTTTGTTGCTAATAATTCTATATTTGATACTAAAAATTATATTTTGTATCTTTGGTGTGTTTACTTTATTTTTTTGTTTATTCTTTATTTGTTGTTAATAGTTTAATTTTCTCTTAATAATTGGTTTTTGTTACTAATAATTCTTAACTTGCTAGTAAATAAATTTTTTGTTATAAATAATTCTTCATTTGTTGCTAATTATTATTTATTTTCTATTAATATTTATTTTTTATGAAAATTCTTTATTTTATACAAAAAATTATTTTTTGTTTGAAATAATTCTTTACTTGTTGCTAATTATTCATTTGCTACCTATTAATAACTTTTTTTTTGTTATAAATAATTTTTTTTTGCTAATAGTTTATTTATTTATTTATTTTACAAATCAATGGTTTATTTATTTTCTACTAGTAATTATTTTTTGTTACTAATATTTCTTTATTTGATACTAAAAATTATTTTTTGTTATAAATTATAAATAATTCTTTATTTGTTACTTATAATTATTTATTGTCTACTAATAATTATTTTCTTTTGCTAAAAATTCTTTATTTGATACTAAAAATTATTTTTGGTAAGAAACAATTCTTTATTTGTTCCTAATAATTATTTATTTGCTTCATTTGCTAATAAACAATAGTCTCGTTCTAATAATTACTCACTTTTTACTAGCAGTTCGTTTAAATTTAGAAAATTTAATTAAAAATCATAGTTTCTGGTCTATAAATTCCAAGTAAAAATAAGGAATTAGATAGGAGAATTTATTAATTAATTTGTAAATTAATGAAGAAAATTATTAAGAAAATTGTCAAGAAAATTTCGAACTCTTACATTATTTTTTTATGATTATTTTCTCCTAACATTTTTTTTTATTTCTTTCCCTAATTAAAAATTTAATTACCGTTTTTAATACGAACACAATTTTTTTCTCGTTTTGATAAGTGTTTTTATCATAATTGTTCTTTTAAAGTTCTTTCGAAGCTTTTGTCTTCAAAAAAAAAAAAAAAAGAATGACAAGAATAGCCTTGTCAAGAGAAGAGAGATTGATTGATAGTAACATGTTAGCACGTTTTGTCATTTATTTTCTGAACACATTGAAATCATAACTGAAAAAGCAGCGATAAAGCTGTATTATAAAAAATAAGGGGGAAAATATCATGTGAAAAGGCAGAATTGTTTTATTTTATTTATTTTTTCGTTCTATTTTTTTTTTTTTTTTTTGAAAAATGGAGAAGAAAGTGACAATGTTAATTTCTTTCTTCTAATTGTCCAAGGCGTATGAAAAATAATTTTATGTACCTTATCATTATTGTTGTACTTAATGTCAAAAAGACACGCAATTTTAATTTCTATTTAATGATTAAATGAGTATTGAAAATATATTTTCGAAATCAACATTTAAAAAAAGGAATTGCAAATTATTAATTTTTTCAAGTTAATGATTTGATGGGTAATGAAAATAAATTTTAAAATTGAAATTTAAAAAAGGAATTGAAACTTCAAATGGTTTTGAAATTTAAATTTAAATTGAAAATTGATTGGAAATTGAAATTTTATAAGAAAATTAAAATTAAATTTGAAATTTTAATTTAAATTGAAATTTACATTAAAATTGCAATTTTAATGGAAATTGGAAGTTTTTTAAATAGCATATGATATTGAAATTTTAATAGCAATTGAAATTGAAATTTACATTAAAATAAAATTTCAACAGAAATTAAAATTAAAATTCACATTGAAACTAAAATAGTTTAAGAAAAATTTTAATGGAAATTAAAAATGAAATTTTAGTTGAACTTAAAATTTGCATTACATCTGAAATTTTAATGTCAATGGTAATAAAAATTAAAAATTGAAATTAATATGGAAATAAAAATTTTTAAGTAAATTAAATTTGAAATCAAAATTTGGGAAAAAATTAAAATTGAAATTTACATTGAAATTAAAATTTTAAGGAAAATTGAATTTAAAATTGAAATTTTAATAGAAATTTTAAAGAAATATGTATTTGAAATTTTAATTGCAGTTTGCAGTGAAATTGAAATTTATTGTGAAAATTCATATTAAAATTATAATTTTAATGGTAATTAAAGTTGAAATTTACATTGAAATTAAAATTTTAAAGAAAATTGAATTTTAAATTGAAATTTAAATTAACATTGTAATTAAAATGTTTTAAGAAGAATTTTAATAGAAATTGCAATTTCACTGCAAACTGACATTAAAATTTCAAATACAGATTTATTAAAATTTCTACTAAAATTTCAATTTTAAATTTAATTTTCCTTAAAATTTTAATTTCAATGTAAATTTCAATTTCAATTTTCCCCTAAATTTCGATTTTAAATTTAATTTACTTTCAAATTTTTATTAAATTGTAATTTCGATTTTAAATTTAATTTACTTTAAAATTTTTATTAAATTGTAATTAAAGTATTTTAAGAAGAATTTTTTAATGGAAATTGGAACTGAAATTTTAATTGAACTTAAAATTTATATTAAAACTAAAATATTAATGGTAACGGTAATGGAAATTAAACATATAATTAAAATAGAAATAAAAATTTTAAAGTAAATTGAATTTGAAATTAAAATTTGGATAGAAATTGAAATTGAACTTATTATTTTGATACAACTTGAAATTGAAATTAAAATTTTAAGGAAAATTGAATTTAAAATTCAAATTTTAATAGAAATTTTAATTTTATCTGAAATTTATATTAAAATTGAAATTTTATCTGAAATTTGCATTAAAATTGAAATTGAAATTGAAATTAAATTACACATTGAAATTAAAATATTTTAAGAAAAATTTTAATGGGAATTGAACTTAAAATTTGTATTAAAACTAAAATATTAATGGTAATGGTAATAGAAATTGAACATATAATTAAAATGTAAATAAAAGTTTTAAAGTAAATTGAATTTGTTATTAAAATTGAAATACAAATTGAAATTGAACTTATAATTTTAATACAATTTGAAATTAAAATTAAAATTTTAAGGAAAATTGAATTTAAAATTCAAATTTTAATTGAAATTTTAATTTTATCTGAAATTTGTATTGAAATTAAAATTTTATTGAAAATTTGCATTGAAATGTAAATTTTAATCAAAATTTACATTGAAATTAAAATTTTAAAGAAAATTGAATTATTTTAAATTGAAATTGAAATTTACATCGAAATCGAAAATTTAAGGGAAATTGAGTTTTATCTGAAATTTGCATTAAAATTGAAATTGAAATTGAAATTAAATTACACATTGAAATTAAAATATTTTAAGAAAAATTTTAATGGGAATTGAAACTGAAATTTTTAATTGAACTTAAAATTTGTATTAAAACTAAAATATTAATGGTAATTGTAATAGAAATTGAACTATATAATTAAAATGTAAATAAAAGTTTTAAAGTAAATTGAATTTGTTATTAAAATTGAAATACAAATTGAAATTGAACTTATAATTTTAATACAATTTGAAATTAAAATTAAAATTTTAAGGAAAATTGAATTTAAAATTCAAATTTTAATTGAAATTTTAATTTTATCTGAAATTTGTATTGAAATTAAAATTTTATTGAAAATTTGCATTGAAATGTAAATTTTAATCAAAATTTACATTGAAATTAAAATTTTAAAGAAAATTGAATTATTTTAAATTGAAATTGAAATTTACATCGAAATCGAAAATTTAAGGGAAATTGAGTTTTATCTGAAATTTGCATTAAAATTGAAATTGAAATTGAAATTAAATTACACATTGAAATTAAAATATTTTAAGAAAAATTTTAATGGGAATTGAAACTGAAATTTTTAATTGAACTTAAAATTTGTATTAAAACTAAAATATTAATGGTAATGGTAATAGAAATTGAACATATAATTAAAATGTAAATAAAAGTTTTAAAGTAAATTGAATTTGTTATTAAAATTGAAATACAAATTGAAATTGAACTTATAATTTTAATACAATTTGAAATTAAAATTAAAATTTTAAGGAAAATTGAATTTAAAATTCAAATTTTAATTGAAATTTTAATTTTATCTGAAATTTGTATTGAAATGTAAATTTTAATCAAAATTTACATTGCAATTAAAATTTTAAAGAAAATTGAATTATTTTAAATTGAAATTGAAATTTACATCGAAATCGAACATTTAAGGGAAATTGAGTTTAAAATAGCAATTATTATATAATGTTTCAATGAATTTTGAGATTTGTATTGAAATTGAAATTTTAATCGAAATTGATGCCGAAATTGAAATTGAAATGTGAATTAAAATTTTTATTGGAAACTTAAAACTTGCGTTAAAAATAAAATTGTTATGGCAATTAAGATTGAAATGAACTTTCAATTGAAATTGAAATTTTACGAGAAATTTGAAATTAAAATTTTAATGTAAAATTAATATTGAAATTTTAATTCGAATTGGTATTGAAATTTTTATTGAAATTTTTATTGAAATTAAAATGAAAGTTAAAATTTAAATTTAAATTGTAATTTATACATTATTTAATCTAATAATAACTATTGACCATTAGTGATAAAATACAAGTTTAGTCAGACAGACAAAACTTTTTTAAATTTAAATTTGAATTGAAAAATTGAAATTGAAAATAACTCGAAGATGGAAATTGAAATTGCAAAAGAAAAGAAAAAAGAATAATAGAAGAAAAGAAGTTGTAAAATTATTGTGTAAGATGAAATTGTCTTCAGGTGTATATGAACCTCGTTTATGCGATGGCAATTCCGATACCGTCTTTTATAATCTCGGTGATATATTTGACGGTCGCCTATTTCAAAATTTACAACGAAGATGAGGAGGCCCTTGTGGGCGGCGATGATGGCGAGGAAGGCGACGCTGCCGATGGCAGTAATGCAACGCCACTTCAGCCAACAAGCGGCGCTCTAACACCAGGAAGCGAGGCGTTTCGTGAAGATCTCGCGAGTTTTGGCCATCAATTAGAAGTTAAAATGGCTGACGAAATCAGCAGGGAAAGTCTCAATGGAATTCCAAATTCTTACTCGATACAGGGGTAAGACACTTTTTATCATTATTATTATTATTATTAGAAAATTTTTATTCCCATTATAAAATATAATTATCATTTAACAGAGAAAAAATCGTGAATTTTATTCAATTTTTTTGTATTGTATTTGTACTATTTTTATTTGTAATAAAAACACCTTGAGATTTATATATTATTACCTAAGTATATTATTAATTCAAGTGAATTACTTAATTCTAATTTTTTATTTAGTTAATTAATTATTAATTAAGTTCTCTGAAAAAATTAATTTCATATGCCAATAATTATATATTTTGAAAATATCAAACTCACACTTTTTTTCTAAATCTTAATTATGTTAAAATTTCAACCACTAATTCGCATATTAGTAAAAATGTTCATTAATTCTTAGTAAAATATTACTACTTTTCAGTAGTTATTAATTTTTTTCCTACTAAGACTACAGGGATAAATGACTAACAATTAACAATTATAAAAAGTTTTTATTAAAGTGAATTAGCCGCTCAATTTAAATTAATTAAGATTTAACGAGAAAATTATTGTCATTATTATTAAAATTAATTGATGAATATAATTATTAATTATTCTTTAATTACTTCAATTATTTTAATTATTTTAATTATTATTATTTTCATTATTGTAATGATTATTATTTAATTATTTTATTAAATTATAGAAAAATTTGCATCAACTGAACACACAGCATTAATTTGAATCTTTCAAATACAGTTTATAATTAATTACTAATTAATATTAATTCAAATTTTAATAATTGCATAATATAAATATTATGTACTGGAAAAAAATTATTTGATTAAAATAATACTACTAAGAAATAATTTTATTTGAATCAAATAATTTTTTTAGTTTACTTAATTACCTGTAAATTATGTACTTTCTTAAATTAAATACTTAATTGCTAAAATAACCCTCGTTAGTTTAAACCCCGATTTTTCTCTCTATATTTGAATTAGTAAAAATGTTTACTAATTTAAATTAGTTAAAAATAAATAATTTGATAATAAAAACTCACTCTCTGAATTTAAATTAGGAAATATATTTACTAATTTGAATTAGTGACTGACTGTTTACTTTTAAATCAGTAAATTTTACTAATAAATAGTAATTTCTACTAATAATTATAGTAAATAAGTAAATTATTATTTAATTTTTATTTAATATTTATTTAATATTTATGTAATTATTATTTTATATTTATTTAATTATTATTTTATATTTATTTAATTATTATTTAATATTTATTTAACTATTATTTAATATTATTTTATAAATAAATTTCTACTGATTTATGAGTAAAATTTACTAATTCTAAAGCAAAAAGTCAGTCACTACGTCAAATTAGTAAACATTTCGATTAATTCAAATTTAAAGAGTTGGAAATTTTTACAAATATAATTTTGTTAAATTACAACAAAAAAAATTGTTCTAAACTTTGAAAGTGTCATTAGAGAAGTTATTTTTCGAAAATAATTTTGATTTCAGTGGTAAAAGTCAGTTTCAGTTGAACAGAGTGCGATTAATATTGTCAACAGTAGTAAAAGTGAGTTCAGGTCAGACTTTGAAATTTTTTTACTTGTTCCATTTAGTAGTAAAAATTTAAGGGAACTTTCGAAATTTGAGTTATTATAACTAGAGATTCGCAGTATTTTGAAAGAAACTAAAGACGTTTCATGTTTTTTAGAATTTAATTATCAGTAGTAAGACTGCGAATTATTATCTCAACTTCTTGTATAATATTGTAGTTATAAAGTAGTAGAAGATTTTTTTTAGTCAGACAGAAATATTTTCAATGCACATAAACTGACAAAAAGGTTCCAGTTTTTAAGTAGAACAAAAATATTTTCAGTGAAACAAAAGTATTATTTTACTTGTGAATATTTTTTGTCAGTAGCGAAAGTCAATTTTAGTCAGACAAGATTTTAAATATTCTTGTTATTTATTTTTAGTAGTAGAGGAAAATTTTAGTTTCACGTTCTGATTATACTTGGAATTTTGAGTAGTAAATTAGTAATTCTTTTAATCAGATAAATTTTGTTCCTTTTTGTTATTAGAATGATTTTAGTAAAATTTAGTAAATTAAATTAGTATTAATTATTAAATTAGTAAATTAAATTCTTGTTATTAGTAGTGAGAGTCAATTTTATTCAAACAGTGTTCTAAGTATTGGTTAAACTAGCAGATTTAATGAGACGTTTCAATTTCTGGAAATTTCAGTAGTACTGAAGCATTTTAGTCAGACATTTTAATGTTCTTGAAATAAAGTAGTAGAAAGAGTTTTTGGTCAGACAGAGATTCTGTATTGTTCATAAAATTTCAGTAGTTCTAGCCAATTTTTAGTTAAACAAAAGTTTTTATTAGTTATCAGTAGTACTGAAGAATTTTTAGTCAGAAGTTTTATTGTTCTAAAAAATTCAGTGGTATTGTAAAATTTATAGTCAGACCAATGTTTTTTCTTTAATTTCAGTAATACTGGAGAGTTTTTAGTCAGACAATTTAATTTTTTTTTAATTTTCAGTAGTACTGAGGCATTTTAATCAGACATTTTAATGTTCTTGAAATTTAAGTACTATTTAAGAGTTTTTGGTCAGACAGAGAATTTATTTCCTGAAATTTCAGTAGTAGTGGTGAGATTTGAGTCAGACGTTTTAATTTCTTTTTTAATTTCAGTAGTTCTGAAGCATTTTAGCCAGACATTATAAAGTTCTTGAAATTAAGTAGTATTTAAGAGTTTTTGGTCAGACAGTTTCTTTATTGTTCTAGAAATAGTATTTGAGAATTTTCAGTTAAACAACATCTTTTATTCATTATCAGTAGAAATTGTTTTTTTAGTCAGACGTTTTATTGTTCCTAAAAATTTAGTAGTAATGTAAAATTTATAGTCAGACCCCTGTTTTTATTTTTTAATTTCAGTAGTACTGGAAAATTTTTAGTCAGACAGTTAAATTTTTTTAATTTTCAGTAGTACAAAAGCATGTTAGTCAGACATTTTAATATTCCTGAAATTAAGTAGTATTTAAGAGTTCTTAGTCAGACAGAGATTCTATATTGTTTTTGAAATTTAAATAACATTTAAGAGTTTTTGGTCAGACAGAGATTCTATTGTTCTTGAAATTTAAGTTGTAATGGAGAATTTTTCGTTAAACAAAATTTTTTATTTTTTATCAATTGTTTTGGAGAATTTTTAGTTAAACAAAAGTTTTTCTCTTTTATCAGTAGAACAAGATAGATTTTAGTCAGGCAGACGTTTAATTTTTCATGGAATTCCAGAAGTAATAGAGAATTTTGGTCAGACAGATATTTTATTATTCTGAATTCTCATATAATAAATTAAAATTACTTTAAATATAATTCTAATAATAATATAATATTAATAGTAATATTAATATTAATAATAATATTAATAAGTATTATTATTATTAAAATTAATGATTATAAATCTTAATTATTACGAATATTACTCATTAGAAAATATTATCAATAAATAAATATAAAATTTGCAAAACAAGTCAAAATAGAAATGAAAGGGAAAAAACAGTACGTGGAATAAATATTTTATTGAGTATCATAAAAAAACGGTAAAGGACCTATTATTTGCTGTTAAACTGATAAAACGGTACTTCGCAGCACAATCTGTATATAGTGTATATGTAAGGAAGCACAATGCTTTTTATGACGTATAGAAGTATCTATACCTGCCATAAAGGGAATGTGGATATCCACATTTGTGCTTGTATTTATAGCTCGATACTCGGGGGGTTGGCGACTCGCTGTCTCTATGATAAATACATGATGCCTTATTTAGAGGAAAATAGAATAATAATCGTCTACACGCTTTTCGTCTTCATCTAAATCTTACTCTTCTCTAATGCATACCTATAAAGCAGTTGAGTATTTCTATTGAGGAGATGTGTATATACTCAACTCACAATGAGAAAATCGATTCTTCTCGGCTATTCAGAGGAGTGGTTAAATCAGGAACTCTTCGATATATAGGGTGGTTAATCACCTGTGAAAAATGTTTTTACATCCCCACCTTTTCTACTTCGAAATCCATTTTTTTATATTTATTTATATATAAAAATATGAAATTCCTTTCATTATTATTTTTATTATTCTTATTTTCACTATTATTTTTTTTCTCGCTATTTTATTGTAGGTAGTTAATAATAATGTAATTTTAGAATAAAGATTATAAATATATTTTTTTTTATTCGATTTCTGCATCTCGTATAGAGTAAATAAAAAAATATAGTAAAAAAGTGTAATTAGCAGTAAAATAAATTCTAATCGTAAGTAGAAATTTTTTTCTTATTTACTAATAATTAAATAACATTTAAAAAAAGCCAAAAAATTATCAGTAAAAAATTATTTTGTCAGTAAAAATTAATTATTAGTAACAAATTAGAAAAAAGATTATTGTACAATTCTAACTTTGGTATCTTTTTCAAATTTCAATAAAATATATTTTTCTCTTTTTGTCGTTAAATTTTGGGCAAAATCAAACATCTTTTCCTTTTAACACTTTTCTGTAGAACAAAAATCAAAAAAGGTATCACACTATTTCCAAAACAGGACAAAAATGTGTGATTTCTTGTCTATGAAATTTTTAAACTTTGGTATCTTTTTCAAATTTCAATAAAATATATTTTTCTCTTTTTGTCCTTAAATTTTGGGCAAAATCAAACAACTTTTCCATTAAATACTTTTCTGTAGAACAAAAATCAAAAAAGTTATCACACTGTTTCCAAAAAAGGACAAAAATGTGTTATTTCTTGTGTATGAAATTTTTAAACTCTGGTATCTTTTTCAAATCTTAATAAAATATATTTTTCTCTTTTTGTCCTTAAATTTTGGGCAAAATCAAACAACTTTTCCTTTAAACACTTTTCTGTAGAACAAAAATCAAAAAAGTTATCACACTGTTTCCAAAAAAGGACAAAAATGTGTGATTTCTTGTCTATGAAATTTTTAAGCTCTGGTATCTT